ATGAGTGGCGATTCCGCATAACTCGCAGTTTGGAGTTACAGCAACGATGATTGCAGTTGGGTTAACGGTCAGACTGTCGATTTTCTGTGCTAGAGCATCTACTTTAGCGTTGAACTTTTCAAGGCTGCTGATCTCGTACATCCCACCTTTCGCTGCGGGTTTCTCTGCTGGAATGCGTTCACCTCCCTGTTGGCAGTGGTTCTGAGACATGTTTTCGATTAGTTGATAGGCTTCGTCGTATGGCTTATCCATAAGTGCACCGCCCGCGGCGGCGTCTACCGTTAATCTGGTATTGTATAAAAGCCCATTATAAAAAGTATGGATCGTCACCCAGTCTTCTAAACCGTGGTGAGGACATGTTCTCATCATATCTTTGAACCTTTCCCACGCTTCATAGAGAGATTCAGTATCTTTTTGTCGAAGTTCGTTGATTTGGGCTCTAAGCATAGCAGTTTTGCTTGGCGGAAAGTATCTTGCTAAGAAAACGTTCTTCAACTGTTCCCACGTCGTAACGGAGTTGGATGGTAAGGATTGTAACCATATCCACGCTTTATCTCTAAGAGAGAAAGGGAAAAGACGAAGTCTTATTGCGTCTGGAGTTACTCCATTTGCCTTCACTGTGTCTGTGTATTGTACAAACTTCGTTAAGTGTTTATTTGGATCCTCAGTTACATTTCCTGAGAATTGATTTTGTTGTACAGCTGACAGCAATGACGGTTTTAGTTCGAAATCGGTTCGATTGATAGCTGGGGCAGCTATGCTACTTCGAGGCTCCATTTGAGAGGGTGTAGCGTATGCCTTCAGCGGTTTGTTCTGAGGTCCTTCAGCCATCTTTGCTTCTTCAACAGGAGGATGAGCTAGAAGATCAGGAATGTTGTGTCTTCGTTGATATTCGACGATGCGCCTTCTTAGATGTAAGAAGTGCTCTAGTTCGGCGATTGTAGGTTGTAAGATTTCTCCTTGTGAGCGAGTACTTGGCATACAATCGAAGAACGAGTAGAGGGAGAGAGAATTGTTAACCAGGTCTATACTGTGTAACAAAGAATTACATTATTGACTAAACGGGTCCCCGGCAACGGCGCCAAAAACTTGATCGCGACTTTCTATGTCTAACAAATCTAACTACAAGTGCACAGTCTATCGCGTAGTAATAATAGATATCGATCCCACAGGGACTCATAATCAATCTAGTATTATCGGGTGTTACGGTGTTTAGCTAGGTCGGTTTGGTTTCAAGTTGAATAATAGCATAATAGATGCGTAAACTAAAGGGAACTAAAGCTTTTACTTAAGGTATGAATTTATAAATCGATATGCAATAATTTTGTTCTTCGGGGATTCGACAAATTACTGGCGTATTAAGTGTTTTCAAACTTAGTTTAAGAAGAAAATAGTGATCTAAAGACTTTTGTCTCACGATGGTTGTTGACGCTAGTCGCAACTCTAAGGTGGAACGTATGTTGTCGCTATCCCGTTCGGGGTTAAAGTTACTTTTTGAAAATCTCTAAGTTCTAATCCTTTTTAAAGCGCTTTCGCTGTTTTTAAATCGAATGCCTAGTTTTTACTATCTGGTTCTAGCCTCAGTTGTCGCTTGTTGGTTCGTACCTTAATATGGTTTCCCACTGTCGTGGCAAAACTATTTTTAAATAAGTTATCGCTGTCGCGACGAACGTTTACTTAGAAATTTTAATTAAAAACTAAAACCATAACTGAGTTTTGAAAAGAGATAGATTACGCCAATTATTATCAAATCCCGTCCGAATTATTATTACATATCGATTACGGTAATTTAGCTAGACATGGAAAAGGAAATGATAATGCATAAATAAGAGCAGTAATTAAGAACATATATCATAATGAAAATTTGCAATTACGATTAAAATAAAAACCTGTGAATATCCCAATTGACTTTTGGGCAGATACTCCACAATGTTGGCAGGATTCTGGTCTTTGTGCCAATTGATCGTACAAGAAAAATGGAAAGTACAAAATACCAAAGAATACAGAGAAGGAAAAGAGAAACAGATAAGAATATAAGAACGGTAAGGTTGCACTGAAGATAAATTGGCAGCACTTTGTTGTCTTGAATGCGGCTCCCTTTTTCAGGTCCCAACCTCTTCCTTTTATATAGAGAGAGTATCTAACGGTTATTCCTTCAGGAAGTGGGTTTGAGGTAGAAAAGTAGGAGTTAGTGGTTACACTTTTGGTCTTTGAGGGGGAATTTTAGCACGTGACTTCATTCTGCACGTTCTGAGTGCATGACGGTCGTCATGGAGGTGTGACAGTCGTCACACGCATGACAAGCGTAACGGCCATGTGACGGTCGTCACATCAGTAAAACTCGTATCTGCTGTTTTTCTCTTGGTTTTTCATCTGTTTTCACCTGTTTTTGCCCCTTTTCTTCATATTGCTTTGCTTGGACATGTTCTTTGAATATCTACATAATACTTAGATAAATAACATGGAATGCCCCGAATTCGGAGTGAAACCAGTCAAATATTAGTTAAAACACATGTCATTTTATATATACAATTTCGCGTTATCAATGATATACTCTTATATCGAACCAATTGGAAATTAAATTGAATGTTCTAAGAATCGACAATGACCTATAGTTTGTTTCAAAGCAATTTAATGAGTTTTGCAAGAAACATGGTATCAAGAGGAATAGAACTGTTGCTAGCATACCCCCACCAAAATAGCTTAGTTGAACACATGAATAAAACCATTTTATAGAGAATGGGGTGCATTTGTTGGGAATTGGGTTATGAAAAAGTTTTTATGGTAAAACTGTTGCTACAGTAGCTTATTTGATCATTACATATCCATCCGCAGGAATAAACTTCAAGACACCTATGGAGGTTTAGAGTGGGAAATTGGTAGACTACTTAAATTTGAAGATTTTTGAAGCTTTGGCATTTTTTCTTATCAAACAAGACAAACTTAGTGCAAAGGATAAAAAGTGCGTCTTCATTGGTTTATCTTAAAGGGGTGAAGAATTACAAATTGTGGAACATGGATACTAGAGGATCAAAATTTATCATAAGCAGGAGTGTTACTTTTGATGAGACCCATACGAGGATGAAGTGCAAATACATAAAGGTTAAAAAATATGAAATTATGGTGGAAAAGGCTCAGTTTGAGGTGGAGGTTCCTACAAGTGATATTAGAGACAGAAAGGTAGTTAAGACTCCTGATTCTAATACTATTGAAGGGCACATAATGTGTCTCTTAATTACCAATTGACACGTGATATGGTTAGAAGGGAAATTGTATCACCTCATAGGTACGACTATGATGATCTTATTTGTTATGCTTTCAATGTGGCTGAAGGATTGTAAGACTTAAAACCAAATATATTCAGATAAGCAATCAAAAGAAAAGATAGTCAAATATTGGTTGATAGTGGTAAATGGTGAGATGAATTTACTAAAGAAGAACCGTACTTGGGAGCTTGTGAGACTACTTAAGAAACAAATAATGGTTGGGTGCAAGTCGATATTCAAGAAGAAGGAAGGTATTATAGGAATTAAATAATCAAGGGTTAAGGAAAAACTTTTAGTGAAGGATTTTACTTAGGTGGAAGGGATTGATTACAATGAAGTTTTTCACTTGTGGTAAAATATTTTTTATAAGGGTAGTTATGACAATTATAAATCAATATAATCATGATTGGAACATATGGGCGTCAAAACATCTTTCTTACATGGAGACCTTGAAGATACAATCTACATAGAAAAACCTGAAGGTTTTGCAGAAGATAAGACTAAGGTATGTTTGTTGAAGAAGTCTTTGTATGTGTTGAAATAAAACCTAATGTAATGGTGTCTTCAATTTGCTGAATTTCTTCTTAAATTTGCTTCACCCAAATTGCAACTTGAAATATTAATGTTATTAGATGGAAGCAGAAAATATATGCAAGTTTGAAACGACATCAGATTTGAAACATAAGATTCGTTTTCTGATTTGAAATATGCAACCTTACACAAATTGCAATTTAAAACATCCTCATACTGTCGTGTTATGTGCATCGCTGCAACTTGCGCCAAATTCATGAATCACAACTAATGTCATTTTCTCCAAACACGCGATTACCGCTTATTTCCTAAAACATACTTCCCAAACACAGTCATTTTCAGAATTACGTTTTTTTCACGTTCCGGAATCATGTTCCCTGAACGCTGTTGTTGTCGTCATTTGTAAGATCTGCAGGTTTGAGTAATGGAATTGCAGATGAGTTTGTAAGGAAAATATGAAGCTTTGGAATCACATTTGTGAGAAAAATGGAAACAGATTGAAAAATGAAAATTGATGTAAATGTTTTAATCTTCATTAAAATAAATAAATGATTGAGAATGTAAAATTTTAAAAAAAAATGGAGGAGTTTATTTGAGAGAAAAGTTCTAAATATATAAATATTATTTGTAACTCATAGTGAACAATAACATTTATTTAAAATTGAAGTTACAATGTGGCCGTTGATGTTTTGAGAAGTTATCCATCTTTTCATGAGTCACATGACTTAAAGGCATTCTTGAAAGAAAAAAAAAATAAGTCATACCAAATCTCATATCCTCTTTATATATATAGTTATAGATATATAGTTATAAATAATTACTTTGTGGAATTGAAATGCACACTTACATGTTATTGCTTTATGCATCATACAGTTATTAATTAGCAAAATGGTAGGGTCCACAAATTTGTGTTACCAAAAATAAAAAAGGAGTTAATATTAGTGTGACTCAGCATATTGTAGTTTCTTCTTATCCTCTACTATTATCTATGTTAGCAATTTATTTTCCACCATATATAACGTGCTATGACTGTGACCAAAATTTTATTCTATTAATATACTTCATATTTAACTAAATCCAACTCATATATATATCTAAACTACAATATCATCCAAATCTCATCCATTCATTCATATATATATTTTATCTGTTAAACTTAATTATACTTCATAACATATATGAGAGATTTTCTTCTTCAAAATTATGGATGAAAAAAGTAAAACCTATTGGGTTATTAAGGATGACGATGATGTAACTGATTCAATTTCCAATGGCTCTTTGACAGAAGATTCAATGTGTTCATATTTTTCTTCATCAGAGATTGATGATCATGATCAAGAAGTTTCATCATCTTCATCTTCATCAAATTTAAATGGTCCTTTATATGAATTATCAGAACTCATGAACCATCTTCCTATAAAGTAAGAAATTTCAAGCATGCTTTCTTTTATTTACTACTTTTTCTTCATTTTTTTTCTACCTTTATTCAATTTTCTTTTCATTTGAAGGAGAGGATTGTCTATGTTTTATCAAGGGAAGGCACAATCTTTTGGTTCATTAGCAAGGGTGGAAAGTATACAAGATCTTCCTAAAAAAGAGAAACCAAATTACAGAAATAAAGTGAAATCATGCAAGAGTTTTGGTTTGAGCACTCCAAAGGCAACAATAACAAAGAAATCTCCAAGAAGTTCTTCTTTATCAGTAATAATTTCTAGAAGGAGTTTCCTTGGAGAGCCTAGATAGATCTTCTTTTTTGTATACAAAAAATTTTGGAATTTAAAATGATTAAGAGAGCTTAAGTCACTTATTTATTTTCTGAGTACAGAGTTATTTTTTTCCTTCAAAATTAGTCCAAACAAGAGGATTATCTATTTTGAGACTTTATTTATGAAGCATGTAACTCAATTTTTATGATCTCAATTTTATTTATGTATTTTTTATAACTAGGTTCATTTATTTGTTCTTAAATATATATTTCACAAGCTTTTTATGAATTATATATTTTATGATATAATTTTGACTTTATTTTACAAAAATATTAAGGCATAAATTATAGACGAGACACATTTCATTTTAAAATACTATATATTCTCTTAATTCATCTAAATAATTGAGGGAAAATTAACTAGAAACACACTTCCAAGTATAGTTTATGTTATTATTTATTTTATAATAACACAGTTTTATTTTTATTTTTATTTAAATATTAACTTATTTATTCTTTCGATTAAACTATCAACCGAGAAGAAATATTACTTAAGTGACTTTTATAAAAATATTCACTCATCCAGTTTTGTCATAATCTAACTCATGTTTTATTGTTTCAAATTCGTAAACATTACTCTTTAAGATGAATGATAAGACATAAAAATATTTTTAAAAATTATTTTTATTAGTTAGAAAATATTTCAAGGTGATGTGTTGTTATTATTGTTACATTCATGCGTAACTAATTTTACCTAACTTAAACAAAATAATTTTTTCCTCTAACAATCTATCGCATTGGATGATATTCTTATTTTTGTTCATTCCACTTCTTGCAATCCGTTGTCATATTTGGAAATAATTTTTTAATATTATCATCTTAGACAAAATTCAATTATTTATAAATGAATATTTGTCTATAAAAAAATCTTTGTAGTCTATATATAAATAACAACGTTTAAAAAAATTGTCAATACATCAGTCCACAAATAACATTAGTTAAATACATAAAATCTTCACCAACCAATTAGAATGCGGATGTTAAAATTATATATCTTAGATACTAGACAAATATTGCATATAAATATTCTACAAATATTTGTATTTGATCTTCGTCAAGATTCAAAATAATGTTGAGGAAGGAGATTCATAATTTATGAACAATTTATTCTTTGTAAATTGAATCAAAAAGCAAGAATTGTCAAATCTACTTAGGGTGGGCGGTTATGCCTTGGAAGCAACTTTGAAAACAATTTTTAAGGGAACAAGAGTGAATGATGTCGGCAAAACAACTGAAAATGGAAGTGTTCAATGAATCAATTCTAGAATTCTTCAAAGTTGAAAAATTGAAACCATATCAAATTAATTAAAAGAAAAAGTGATAATCTAGATCTAATAGGTGTGGTGGACACACATATGATGTGATCCCATGGCATTGCAATTAGAACATTATGGTGGGAATTCGATTGCCTCTTAATTATCAAAATGTCATTACCTAACAAAGTCAACCTTCTTATCTTCACGTGTAATATCATTCTTGTAACAATATACACCTCATTCTAAAAGAAAATAATGGAGAATATATATCCTTTTCATTATAAATATATTCTTTTTCTTTTTAATAAAAAATATTCTTTTTGTTATATCTATTGTCCAATTTAAAAGTTAGTTAGACAGTTATAAAATTAGTTAAGAGGTTAGAGGAGTTAGTTGCCACTCTCGTAAAATAAATTTATCTTAAAATTAATCATTCTTTTTAGTTTTTAATATAATATTTATTACTTTTTCAATTATATTCTCTAAATAATATCACTTTCATCATACTTAATTTTTGATAAAAATATTTTAGTAAAATTATACTTATTTCTTTTATTTATATATATTTTTTAATATATTTAAAAATAGATAATAGAGACCCTCATTGTAAATAACCCTGTTAGTGAAGCAATAAGTAAGTTTTGTTCAGTAAAATCTCTTTATAATCCTCTTGTATATAAGGCATCTTTAAGCCATTAACAATATAAGAAAAAATTTCCAACAATGAAAAAGACATTAAGCTCTGCACTCATTACAATAGATCAAGACAAACCATAGATATATGCTATATAAAGCATGAATATCCTCCTCATTTTGGAAAAATAAAGCTCATTTAATGATCCAATGCAGTAGTGAGGCATTGCATCTGATTAATAATGGAGAATAAGGCCTATCAAGTAATCAATGCAGTATTTCTCAAGAGCAATATACTCATCTGATTAACTCCTTACATCAACTACAAATTCTTAGTTCTAATCACATAACTACATCATCCAGTCAGTTCGATCATAAATCAAATTAGATTTTAAGTAAAACTCACATATCTTGTATATCTTGCTTAATTAACTAGATATCCAATTTTTAGATCTTTGAATCAGAAGCTAACGATCATGTATGCTCTTCTTTACATTGGTTTAGTTCATAAAACTTATTTCAGTTTCCAAATTTTGTTATTCTTTCAACTATGTTCTTCATTTTTTTTATAGCAAATGTGTTTTGTTTGTGTTATTTTCTCAACTATTTTCTTTATTTTTTACTATAATAAATGTGTTTTGTGTTACTTGAAATCTCATAGGAAGATTGGTTTGACTAGTCAATTTGAATGGCTATACAAACCATTGATTGTGTTTGATGCTCAAATTGATGATTCACATATATCTCAATCTAGTCCACTATTCCAACTCATAATCCTAGTCAGGCCTTTGACAATAATAGTTCTTATGTGTTACTTCTAATTTATTTAAGTGTCATGTGAGTTTAGAGATAATTTGGTATGCGTCTGAATTTCATTTCAAATTCTAAATTGGTATATAAACTGAATTTTCATTTCAATTAGATACATAATCATTTCTATTGTAACTTTTTTTTGTTCTGAAAGAAAGTTAGTTACAAATTTGTTTTCTCTCTTTTCCTCTTCCATAATCTTCTTCATCTTCAACCATGTGCACCAGCAATTGCTATCTAAAGCTTCGGTTTGGATTCACATCAGGAAACACGAGTGTACGTGAGGCGTGTGTGATTGATTTTGGCTATAAAATTCACATTGAATTGAAGTTCTAAATCTAAACAAAATCACATTTCTTAATTTTGAGGGATTGGAAAACATAAGTGTTTGTGAGGTTTTAGTGAATTTGCACAAGAACGAATAAGAACGGTGGGAACGGTAGCTTGAACACAAAGCTCATAGTCTTTGATGGAAAGCATTGGAATTGATTGATGATTCACATGCATAAAGATGTTCATGATCTCGTCAATGACGGTTATACAACGGTTGCGGCATATGCAACTAAAGAACAAACAAACACACATAAAAAATGAGGTAGAAGGAACATAAGGATTTTTTTTTATATCCATCAGTGTATAGATATGAATGTGTTTAAGAAGATCACTCATTCAACGATGGTGAAGGCTGTGTGGGACACATTGGTACGAGGCTATAAAGGTGATACATCAGTGAAGAAGGTGAAGTTTCAGTCTCTACGTAAGCAATATGAGAATCTTAACACGAAAAACAATAAGAATGTACCTGACTACATATCTAATGTGATTCTGATCACAAATGAGATGAAATCTTGTGGAGAGACTCTCCCTGAACAAGTAATCATTTACAAGATAATAAGATTACTTACTCCTTAGTTTGATTATATTCCTGTAGCAATTGTATGATTTTGATTAGAAGGTGATTATGTAATCTAAACAGTGAAACAACAGAACATTCAAGGTGAATGTAGATACAGCTGAAACTAAATGCCTTAGTGCAGAAGGTACTGAAGGTAACAGTGTGATGTGGCATAAGAGATTGGGACATATGAACTTCAGAAGCTTAAGGCATATGAGTTCTAAGAATATGGTATATGGCATTCCAAGATTGTGAAACCTGGGAAGTCATGTGAGATATGCATGATAGGTAAGCAACCTAGATTTCCATTTGCATCAGAAGTGGCTCCAAGAGAAAAAAAATTCTTTAGGAGTAGTGCATTCTGATGTATGTGGACCATTTGAAGTATCTTCATTTTAAGGAAACAAGTCATTTGTGTCATTTGTTGATGAGTTTACGAGAATGAAATGGGTAGCACTCATCAAGTTTAAGCATGATGTGTTTGTTGAGTTTCCGAAGCTCAAGGTGAAAGCTGAAAAAACAAAGTGGTCATAAATTGAAAATTCTCAGAACTAATAGTGGAGGTGAGTACAACTCATCATATTTCAAAAGGTTATGTGAAGAGAATGAAGTTGAACATTAGGTGACTGCTCTATATACTTCATAACACAATGGTTTTGCTGAAACAAGAAACAAAACTTTGCTTGATATGATAAGGAGCATGTTAAAGGAGAAGAAGCTCCCACACACCTTGTCGGGAGAAGTTGTTGTCACTGCAACATATGTGTTCAACAGGTATCTAACCAAGAAACTGAAGAAAATTGTTTCCTTGAGAAGTTGACTGAAGATAAGAAATGTGTGAGTCACTTGAAGGTATTTGGTTCTATTTGTTATAAACATGTTCCAGATGCTAAAAGAAGAAAGTTGGATGACAAAAGCAGAGTCATGTTACTTGTAGAGTACCATAGTATAAGTGCCTATCAACTTTACTGTCCTTGAGCTAATAAATTGCAAGTTTGCAACCACACATGCTAAAACAAATCACAAGTTGGATTCCGTTGTAAATGCTACAACTTTTAAATAGTTGGTGGGCTCATTGAGATATCTCTATAATACCAGACCTGGAATTTGCTATGCAATTGATATGATGAGTAGATTTATGAATAAACTAAAGTGGTCACATTACCAAGATGTTGTCAAGATACTGAGGTACATTAAAAGGACTCTGAAGTTTGGAGTTTTGTTCCCTTCTGATGATAAATCTAATTCAAAGTTGATGTGTTGTTCATACTTTGATTGGTGTGGAGACACAACTAACAAAAAAAATTCTTCTAGATATTTCTTCAAGTATCTTGGAGGTCCTATTTCCTGGTGCTCCAAGAAGCAACCAGTGGTTGCATTGTCC